CTGCCCTAGATGTGCGCATGTGTGGGGGTTGTTCCTTCCTGCCCATACACTTTCCCCTGACTACCAGTATGAAGTCAGACAGACATCGTCTTACTCAATTCTTACAACCCTGTTTTATAGGTGGAGAAACTCCGGCTAAGAAATTTGCCAAAGGCCACACAGCAGTAAGTGGAGGAGCTGGGACTAAAACCAGGTCTACTGGACACCATTTCCCCAGAGCACTGCACGGACAGGTTGCTGGCAGCCTTTCCTCCAAAGCACCTTGGATTGGGCCGGTGGAGGGGTGATGGGCTGGGGCTGGGGACGTATCTGCTGCTCACGTGGGAATGAAGAAAGGCACACTCCGCTCTCAAGAGGGAAGCATGTTGGAAAGGCCACGTCCACCCTTCTCCCAGCCTCCCTTGCTCTCTCTCCAGAGGGGGAAGCGCTTTTCTGATGCGGAGCTTGGGAGAAGGAGCTGGATGGGGGGCTGGGGAATCTGGCCTCTCTTGTCCACTTCCTACCTGCCTGTCTGCCCACAGATCTGCTCCTGTGTCCCCGGTGTGGGAGGGATGCCTGGGGGCGGCCAGTGTCCACCACCAGCTGCGTGGGGAGGCAGCGATTCTCTTGGCAGCTGGCAGGGTCACCCACTGTGCAGACCTCACCTTGGTGAGGGAGGAGGAACGCAAGCCCAAGCCTCCCATGCAGCTTCTCTGATCATCTGACCTCGAACTCGGCGCTGCCTGTTTTTCTCCTGCTTTACCACACGTGGGAAGAGGGTGTTGCTGGTGCCAGAAAACCCAGCATCTCCCTGACCATTCCCAGAGAAGCCCAGCAGGCCACGCTGCAGACCTGGCTCTGCGGCTCCTGCTCTGCTGTCCCAGGTGTCCTTGTCTGCGGGTGGTCCCATCCCTCACTGCGCCCCATGACTACATTCGCCTCACCCAGTGGCTCTCTCTGGCTAGGCCCGCGGTCTGCGCAGACTCCTGGCCAGTTTTCCTTTCTCGCCATCCCCCCTTCGGCCCCTGGGCACCTCCCTGCTCTTGAGCCCTGCAGCTGTCACTCTGCAGGTGCTGCCTCCGCCAGGAAGCCTTCCCTGGCCACCACCCTGCAATACCTTTTACTTTCTGCCAACCTCACAGTGCTCGCTGCCAGCACCTCTTATCTCACTTTAACCTTGCTGATGTTCCTCAACCCCGTCCCTTCTTCTCCCAAATACAATGCCAAAAATAATGCTAACACTGGCTTCGATGTACTGAGGTCTCGATTTCGCTGAGCCAGGCCCAGGAAGGCTTCTTCTTCAAGGAGAGAAGCTTTCTAGAATACTGAGCGTCAGCCTGCCACACGGCGGGTGCTCAGCACCTGAAGCAGTTTCTCAGGTGAGCTCAAATGCCCTGGTGCACCTTTCCGGAAAGCCATTTGGTTTATTAAAATATTCAAAGCTTTAAAAATATGCATAGGCTCCGGGAGCTGAGCCAGCGAGCCCACTTTCAGGAATTCATCCTGTGAAACAATCATCCCTGTGCTCAAAGACTTAGCCATAGGACTGCTGCACAGGGCCAAGCTGCTGCTAAGTAGCCGAGCTGTACCTCCACTTCCTCAGTTGTAAAGTGGGATAAAAACAGCGCCTCATCCACGCCGCTGTGGGGATTAGCAAATCAGGCATTAATATATGTAAAGCACTTCACACAGTTCCCAGCACATATTCTGGCTCTATAGAAGTGTTACCTGCTTGAACTGAGGTCTGAATGAGGCGAGTCTGTCCCTTAACTACACCGCCAGCCTGCCACCATCCATTCTCATGGTTTCCATATCAGAACAATCGTGAGTAGCAAAAACAACCAACATCAACAATGATCAACATACCTAACACAGGACCTGCTTAAATAACAATACAACTATATACAACACTACGCAGCCACTCAAAACAAAGTTGCAAAATAATATCGTGCATTAATATACATAAATGGAAAAGGGCTACAAGACTATAAATTTAGTATGAAGTAACTTTCCTCAAGTCCATAAATGTATGGGAAAACATATTTTGCAAAACGTGAAGACATATCTTCCCTAGCTTATAAAGTTACACAATGATTTTTCTTTCCTTTTTTATCTTTCTTTTTGAATTTCTTGCAAAGAACACATACTCCTTTTGCGGCAAAGAGAAAAAAACCCGATTCTGCAAGAGAAAATGAAAGCCGTATTGGTTTACTTCTATCTATAAAAGAAGGGATTGTGACTTCCTTTTATAGAGCCCCTATCACATCTGATATACAATCTCTGGACATAAAAACCCTGGTCCTGAACAGAATTCCAGCTTGGCCATGTTTAATCTTCCAGGCCAAAGTGTTCAGTGCGGAGTTTAGAAATGGCCCGAAAGCGTGTGAGCAGCGGGTGGGGGTGGGGGTGCATCTGGGGCTGGTCCGTGGGGGACCAGGGACGGCCTGGCAGGCTGGGAGATGTCAGGAACTGACCCCAAGGCGAGGAGACCGGGAGAGGCAGGATCCTGGAATCCAGCCATGGTGCATTAGGAGGCAATTACCCAGGGGCGCATGTGGTGGGGCCTCCCAGACTGAGCCGAGAGGCAGAGCATGGCCACTGCGGCATCTGGGAGCTCTCTTCAGCTCGAGCTACAGAACTTCCGACAAGAGGCTTAAGTGCAGTTGGATCTTAGTATGATCGGCCCCACTCACAGGCAGTTTTCGCTCTGGCCCTCCTCCTGAAAGCCTCCGTTCCCTGCACCCCCAACAGAGGAGGGAGCACGGTGAGCCTGCAGGGGAAGGGCAGGGTCTCGGCCATCCAGGCCACCGAGGGACTGCCCACCCCGCACAGGGTTAAGCCTGGGGTTAGCAGGGCCTGCGAAACGTGGCACTTCAAATAATTAGGTTACTAACTACGTTACTGTCGGGCACACGGCACGCATGACGTCAACCCTCCCACAGCCCCAAGAGCGGGCCGCGTCCACGTCCATCTCATGGCTGAGGGAACTGAGGCTCCGAGACTGCCTGGGGTGACTCTGGATCTTCCTTCCTCCCCCGCAACTGGGGCTTTCTGGCGGCTAGGGGAGGGTGGGTGTCGGCCCAGCTCCCTAAGTCCCCCTTGCAGGCAGCCAGGCGGCCGGGCCAGGCATCCCACAGCGGCCTAGCTGCCCATCTCACGCTGGTGCAGAGCTCAGGGTGCGAGGCACTGCAGGGCGGGACCACCTCAAGCTGTGGCAGGGGTCCCTGCCGTGTTCCCCAGCCACCTGGCTGGCGCGGTGTAGACTACTTCACTCCTTGGAGGCCGACCCCCATAGTCGCTGTGACCTTCTGGGGCTGCCTGTGCCCCAAGTTCCCGGTCGTTAAGTCATTCGAGTGGCACAAAGAACACCCTGGCCTGGGCCCGGGATGTGGGTCTGCAGCCTGGGCTGCCTCATCCCCTGGGTGGCCTTGGATGCTGCACATTTGACCCCAATTTTCTCACTTGTTCAGTGGGGAGAGGAACCCCTAGCCCGCACCGTCAGGGCTTTGGGGAGACAAAGGGCTCAGGCGCTGCCCACTCACCCTCCTGGGGGTCACCTGTGCTAGCTCTGCTCCCTCAGGCCAGGTGAACTGAGGCTAAAGGTGTGTGGGGGCGCCGCCGGGACAAGTCAGTGGAGAAGCCCACCAAGGCAAGGGCATGAGGAGCCCTTCGGCGGGGGCCCCTCCTCTCCTCTGCCCGGGTGGTCCCAGCAGCCTGATTAGCCCTGGCCAGGTTAGGAAGCCCCAGGGCGCCCTTCATCCAGACACCCACAAACATTCCTCGGGCAGGGAGGTTCTAGCCCTTGACCCAGGATCGGAAGGGGTGGGTTCCCTTCCCGCAGGGTTCCATCGTCATTCTCCCAGGCCGGGGCTGGACTCCCGGCCGTGGCCCGGGTAAGGCGGCTCTGTGTCGTCATCACAGCCTGCAGATGGGCTCCTGGGGTGCCACGGGCTGGGGACTGGGCGGCGCCTTCCTGCTTCCACTCTTGGAAGGGCGAGGCAGTCCTTGCTGCGCGCTGGGTTCGGGACACCGGCAGGGGACCCTCGGGCACTGCGGGCGCTCAGTCGTCACAGCGCCCGCCCACAACCTTCCTGTGGTGGGCGGCTAATTGCACAACGGTCACGAGGCCCTCCAGAGCCCTCTGGGGCCCCTCTTCCCCAGAAAGCTCAGCGCTTCCACTCCAGGAGGCTCCGCAGCAGCCACTGCTGCTGTCAGCCCAGGGCCTCGGAGGGAGAGAGGCTGCCGACCACAGTGAAACCCATGGGCACCGTCAATGGATCCCAGAACCCTATAAACCCTCTAGGTGCCTCAATTTCCTCATGCGTCTAGGAAAATAATCCATGGGATGGCTTTGAGGAATGACGCAGGTCGGGAGGCAAGGTACCCAAACCAGCCCCTTTCAACTTCCCTTCCTTCACCCTCCATGCCGTCTTGAACGTGAGGATGTTTGTCCAGAGCCAAAGTGGGGTCCTGGCCAGGGCCCTGCCTGGGCAGTGACACATCCAGGGCTGAGGGATGTGACATCGGAGTTCCCAGGAGGGGCAGTGACAGAGTCCTCCCCACCACAATGTCACACACACACACTTCTGACATGCCACCCCACCCCCCCGCCCCGGTCTTTAACACTTAACAAATACCCAGCTCAGCACCGGGCTCTGGTCACAGGCTGGGGAAGGCTTTTAGAACACAAGGCGCCTGACTACTAAACCAGCTGGGAAAAGCACCATTAGTGTCCCACTCTAATAGATAAACATCAAAGCCACTTCCCTACTGATCCCCAGACAGGACTTGAATCCAAGCACAGATTCCAGCTGCACAAATGTGACAGGGGTCTCACAAGGGGGTTTCTTCCCAGAGTCAATGGGAGGCAGGGGAAAAGGTAGTCGTAAACTAGTCCCTGGGAAGGGAACATGTAGGTGGAATCATGTATAAGTAAAGATTTAAACAGACTGCATCACTATGGAAATGTTCCGCTTTTCCAAAGACGCCATTAAGAAAAATAAAATAATCAAGACTTCAGATTCAACACTACAAGTGTTTATGACCAGAAAAGGCAAAGTGGGTCTTAGATATTCTGCAGCCAAGAGAAAGCTGCCAGAACCCAAGGAAGAAATATTCCCAACAGAGCAGGAACCCATCACTTGTCATGACTTTCTCTGCAAGGCCCCAGTGGGAGCATTCCACTCACTTGGGGCCCCCTCAACTCCTTCGAGGTGCCTGCCACACAGTGGGGAGCCTGTGCCGGTGACTGGGCTCAGACAGATCCATTAGAATCCAGCTAGGGTCACAGCAGCACACAGGCAGCAGGGAGTGACATGGGTGCCCCGAGGTTCATCAGCTGTGACCCCAACCTCTGGGAAATCACTGGCAGAGCTACTGGTTTAGTCTTCATGGATCAAAGTGGGACCCGATTTCAGTTTAGGGTTACAATCTGGTGCTGTCTCGCTGTTCTGAGCATGCAGAGGCATTCCCAGCTGCAGCCTGACCTGTTTCTCTGGGCTGGAGCAGTGGTGATGGCAAGTACTGTAAGGAGCCTCATACTGAGTCTGGACACCATTCAAGGTCCCCAGATACATACTCAGATGATGAGGGACGATGGAACCACCGGGGAACCTTTACCTACCTGGGAAGGTTTCCAGGTATGTGGTAGGAAACACCTGTCAGAAAAGTTGGCTGAAGATTTTTCTCAATGCACCAGATTTCACCAAAATGAGTTTCTTCAATTAAATGACCAATTGCTGCCCAGCTGGCAGCAGTTTTTGACCAGAAGATGCTAATGTTGATTAAGCAGAGATGAGACGCAGAAACCTGCCCTGAAACACAAGCAAGCAGGCAACACACAAGTGGCATGGAGTTAGCGGTGGTCAGGACTGCCGGAGCCAGACCTGGAAAGTACACGCGTTTGGGAATTCACCTGTTGTCTGAATTCTGGCCCTGCCACTGCAAGTCGTGCTGAACTGTTTAACCTCTCAGAGACTTTTCCTCATTTCTACAATGGGAACAGGTCTCTTTCTTGTCCTGCTGTGGAGAGGTTTAGGGATCATGTATACAAGCTCCCAGGACAGTGCTTACAAAGAAAAGAAAAATGGCAGCTGAAAACCCTGAATGTTTTTCTTCAGGCTACAATCTGTGCTGGCTTCCTCTGCTTTACAGGTACAGCTTCACCCCAATTCCAAGGTAGCATGGATTTCCAGTAAACATGGCAACAGGCTGGGGTGATCTGCTGAGCATGGCTGTCCTTCGCCACCACCCGGAGTCCCTGCCTATTGCTAAACTCAGCACTTTTGTTCTGTGGCAACTACCTACCTGACATTTCATTTCAGATGGGACCTTATCTCGGTGGTGGAAATAAATGGCAGTCTACAGTGACAGCAAGAAATAAAGGCTAAGATGTGCTGCTCTCTGACCAGGAAACCTGGTGTGTGTGGGGGCCCAACCTGTTTGCTGGAGAGGAGGAATTTGTTTCCCTGATAGGCAGAGGCATGTGACAAGTGAAGAGATCAAATGCCCAGCTGCAGCAGGGGGACTCTGTGACCCTCCATTAGGAGGGGGGATGCTGGAAGACGTAGAGCCATCTGGCACTTCTTCTAAGTTCGTAAAGAATGGAAGGGAAATTTCCCAATGTCACGCAACAGGCCCAAAACCAGAGCTGGCTGTCCCACCCTGGCCAGGCTTTATTTGCTTTAATAGGAAAACAGCTAGGAATTCAACAAAGTTGATTTTATGTTTATGGAGATTTATACCTTCTTCCCTGGAAGGTTCGGTATGATGCTCAAAGTGTGAAAAGCATTTAGTATGCCTCACAGATAAAAGCTTTACATGTTGACAGACAGACAAGACAGACACACAGCCTGGCCAAGCATGGTGCTACAGCCCAGCTCTGGCTCTAAGTTTGCCCCATGGCTGGCACTTTACCACGATCATGGGGATCACTGACCTTACAGGACGGAAGGAAAGAGGATAAAAAGCAAGAGGGTGCTGTAAATCTCCCCAGAGGTAGAGAGAGAAACTAACTCCTCTGCCCTACTTTCATCTATTTAAGTGCATTGTCCTTCTCTTGGGTTTTCCATGTCTCGTTCGGGTTTTACCTGGCACACTGCTCCTGAGTCAACAGGTCAAGGAAACACATGCTTTTATGATGCAAGAAGGGGCAGCCACTCTGGTCTGCTTTGGGAACCTTGGTGACATCACAGACTAACCTCTGAACCTCAGAAACTGTGCAAGGGAACACTGAGTCACAGACAGCCTCAGTCATGGGGCTGCTGAAATCGAAGGTGGGGGGAGGACCATGAGTTTACTCGGTCTATTCCCTGTAGGTCTGCTCTTGCCTCTACCTGGCTGGCTTTAAATGACTCACGTGATTCTCCAAGGGAACCTAATCTATGTGGAACAGCTGTCACTAACGGCATTTGCTGCTCTTCTGCCAACATCTCAGCCTACTTCTCATGAATCCTCAGCTCTTCTTCCTTACCTAAGGGGACTGTATTTTCTGGTAGTATAGGTATCCGGTGACTGCCTAAGGTGAGGGCTAGAGACCCTGCCTCCTCCCTTCATCTGGAGGACTACTCCCAAGAGTGTCCAGGAAGACAGTTAGAAACAGTGTCCCCTGAATGTACAGCTCCCCATTATAGTAACATACAGGCCGGGATGTGACAGTGCCAAGACAGACTACAGCAAGGCTCCTGAAGCCACCTCTGTTTGGGTTTCTGCAGCTGTCTGCCCACAGAAGACTCCAGAGCTGCTGACATGTATTTATATCTCTGCTCCACGGACGTCATAAGGAAAAAACACGTGCAGATTTTCCCCAGATACACAAGGCCATTCACATTTCTTCAGATTATAGGGGGAGGACAGGAGAAAAACAGATTATGGCCCAAATCATGTGCAAGCACAGCCGCAGCAGTTTTTAATTTGCCTAAAGATAATGCATGGTTTGAGATGTGCTTCGGAAAAATTGTTCCCCAGTGGGCATATTATCAATTGAATTGCTAGGGGCTCTCGTTTAATGGGACAGGGAGCTGGGAAACAACTGCCACGATCTTCCAAATAGCTGCATCTCGGGTAGGCTGGAGCAGCCTCCTGAAGTGTCTTCTGCCGGAGGGCCACTGCACACAAACGTTTCTCCACAAAGCGTGGTCACCTGGGCGCCTCACCGGGGTCTGGATACACAGTGCGAAAGGTCAGGTTTACTCTCAGTTCCCTGGAGTGGTATTCTTTAGGCACTCGATGCTAAATGGAAATATAAATAACTCCTGGGTATAAATACACACACATTTTAAATTCAAAGCAATTTACAACTTACTTACAAGGGTATAGAAATATTTCCATTTTATCCTGGTCTCAAGCTCTTTAAAGTTTTGTGAAAAATGTTACCCTTCTCTCCAGTTTCCAGGCAACCCCACTAAGCTAGCAGCCTTACAGTGAGACACTTTCATCTTTTCTAATTGTTGCTCCTCTTCTCAGATTCCTGCCATTTTCCAAATCTCATAAAACAACAACAACATATAACTGGAGAAGGTCAAAGAGAGTCACGAGATTCCACTCTCTTGCTAAGCTTCGGTATGGTAACAAACATAACTTAAAAATGGCCTGGCCTGGCTTAGCTGTGGGGCTGCGCAGCCCACCATGGCAGCCTCTGGCTACTGGCAGTTACTGAGATTTAAAGTCATGATGTTTAAAATGCAGTGGTTTGGCACTCTTGTAACATTTTAAGTGACCAACAGTTGCGTGGGGCTAGCGGCTACGACAGCGGGCAGCGCAGAAAGCTCACTGAGAACCGCTGCCTCGGGGCCCGCTTGGGTTCTCAGCGGCATTGAAGCACCCACCTTGGAAACGATGTCCATCGACTGGCTCTGGCCCCCTCATGGCGACTTGCTTCTGACCACATGTTTACATGGAAATGAGTCCCCCTCAGCCATTCGAGAAGGCTCCTTACGCACCCTCACCTGCCAGTCAGCTTGTGTCGCTCCTTCCATGACCAACAGGGCCCCGTGATCCAAGGGTATTTTCACTCTTTCCACATAGGTGTAGTCTCTGTTCTCTTCCTACAAAACAGCATTCAGTGCACTGAATTTTTTGCTGTGTGAGCAAAGGCGACAGAACCTGACAGCAGTCAGAGAGATGGAAGCTGCTCCTCCTCAGCCAGGAGGTGGGGTTCATGCACCAGCTCGGCTGCTTGGCAGTTGTTTGGGCTTCCGTAAGTGATTTCGCTTCTCTGTGCCTTGATTTGCTCATTGGTAACGGTCATGGTGCCAACATCTGGCACACAGGGCTGCTGTGAGCCTCCGTTGATATGTTACGTGTAAACCTCTTGGAGTCCGGTGCACAGTGAACAGTCAGAGCTAGCTGTCACGATCATTGACATCCAAAATGCAGAGAAGCCTGATCTGGCCTAGGGAGGAGCGGAAAATCACGAGGATCCTTCCCTCTGTCTCATGTGTACTACATTTCAACACTGTGTGGGGAAAATGGCCTTTTAGCCAAGACCTGGTGGGCTGAGTGCTGCTTCACCCTTTCACAATGTGTGTTAATTCACTCACTGGCACCTATGTCAAAACAGTTGCAGCTCTTTCCAGGGCTACTCTGGAGACGCGTTCCTGTCTCTTTCCAGAACAGAAAACAGCAAGGCCTTCTCAGAGGAGAGTGTTCTGGCCTAACCAGAACAGTGCTGCCAAACGAAGCCTGGCTGTCTGGGCTTGTGGAATGGATCACAGCTCCTGAACAATCAGAGCGCACATATTTTGTATTTACACTGTCCCTTTCTGCTGGAGAGCTCAAAATCAACTTATGTGCAGTGCTGTCTCATATCTTCACAGCACAGCCTGCAAAGCAATCAACAGGGGGTGTGACTCCTGCCTCTCGGTGAACAAGTACCTTGCTCCCAGCAATGAAGACACATCAAGGGCTGGGAGTGGGGCAGAGCTGAGCTCCCTGATTTCTTTGCTCCAGCTGTGGCAGAGCTGCTGGGCCTTGCCACACATGCGCTTCACATTCCAAGGCAGGGGTTATGTGGGGTCACTACAGGATGGATCTCAGTGTAATACTGTGTTTATGTTTATTACTGTATGGGTCCCTCTAAGAACCTAACTGTTTACAATTATTTCCCACAGGAAAATCAAAATCAAAACAATAAGGGACTTGCATAAACAGTCTAAGTTCTAGGGCCCAACTCTTGGCAATGACTTTTTCAGGGATAGTCATAATTTTTACAGGCAGAAGATATAAGCGATGTTTGAAACGACTTTTGGTTTTAGTGACTGATTTTAATTGTGTGCCACCTTTCCTCTTCAGGAGTAAGTAAGCACTATCATGATCACCTGACTGCTCAGCCAACCAGAGAGCAGTGGGAAGGTGGCCCTGCCTTGCTCTGGACACCCAGCTCTATCTCAGATGGCAAAAGATGGCTCTCTGAGAAAAGCACGGCAGACCGAGGAGATGCAAATCTTCCTGGAGAGAAGGTAACAGAAGGGAGTGCAGCACCCACAAGATTAGAGGTCCAAGGCTCCTTAATTTGGGCTGTACAGGCAGTTATTGGGCAAGGTTCAACTCAGCTAGAAGGAGAACTTCTGCTACCCTCCACATAATCAGGGAGGGAAAGACAGCCTGAACGTACACATTAAGTACCGACACTTAGACCGGAGAATAAAGTAAAACACAGAGGAAAGACATCTAACCACAAGTTGAGAACAATTCTGAGGTGAAGATCTCTTAGAACATCAAAAACATCACTAGAGGAGGAGGAGCAATGGAGAAGTGAGCCTTATAATTCCACCTGGAAACATGAAGCAGAGATGTATGTCAAAAGTGAGAGAGAATTCCAAATGCAAGAGGGAAATAGCAGCACTGATGGAAAAAAATGAAGTTTAACAGATTCACACTCAACTTAATTAATTCTAATCTTTGGATTTTTCAAATGAGAAAAAGCTTCCGGTAGGTTTGAACACGTTACCTCCAACATAACCACCAGTCACATCTAAAAAGTAAAGGGAGCCTTCGCAAGGGAGGGAGGCAGCAATATGCAGCGTGCCCACTTCGAGAGATGATGGCACTACTGTGCGGGTTGTTACTTACTCCTTCCCACACCCGTGGCTCAGAAAGTGCATTCCTCATTGGCAGGAGGAGATGGACAGGAAAGCGGTCAAGGGAACCTATCAGCGCAACAGAGCTCACAAAAGCGACCTTTCTTTCTGAGGCCAGGGGTGGCAACAGAGTGTAGTGCCACCCTTTAACCTGACCAGGATGCACAGAGACCTTTCCTACCTAGGATGCAGAAGGAAGGCTGAGGCCCATGTGGCCGTGTGCAAAGCCTGGCTGACAGAAGGATAAGCAGGACTGGCAGGCAGCACGGCTCAGTGTGTTTGGAGGAGCACGTCCATGGTCACTAAGCATGGTCAGGTTACCAAAACACATCTCTGAAACTCCTCTCCTCTACTGCAGACTTCCTTCCAAACAAAACACACTCCCAGAAACCACTGCTTCAGGGAAAAACTTTCCATCCCTGACACCACCTAAAAGCAGCTTGTAGGGTCACAACTGATCTACAGGGTGGGCTCTGCTGTAGATGTTCTTGGTTTTCCACACACTTGAAACCTTACCAGAAGAGTAAAAAAGCAAAAAATAGGTACTTTTATATTAATGCTGAGCAACATGTCTATTCTCTTCCCAACCATAGCCCACTCATTTGAATGCTTAATTATGCTTCTCTAAGAAAGCTCGGGACTTCTCACAATTTTTACCTCTGTCTCTCTAAGATGCTATCCCATTCAGTGTCCTTTAGAAAGATGCGATCTAGGAAAAAAAACATCTGGGCATATTTATTGTTACATTACTAATCATCCAATGGAGGAATTTTCCTTTTTTATTAAAAGACAATTCACTGTATGAAATCCAGATTTCTCATGTAGTTACTCCTTTCTCGTCCTATAACAACAGTGTCTTAGAAATTAAAATTATCACTGCTTTAAAAATCATCATTACAGTTTTTTTCTTGCTGGCACATAGAAGTAACACAAATTGACTGGTGTGAAAGACAATTTGCAATTACTTGTTCAGTGTCTGTCTTTGTAGTCTCAGAAACACCATGAGAGAAGGGCTGTACGGTCCTGTGAGGACGCTCAGGGTCTGCCATCCACATCGGTATTCAGTTCACACAACACACAGAATATCCCATATACACGACCGTGTGCTCTACGTTTTAACATATTGTGAGCACTTTTCTAAAACTTTAAATGTTACATAATATTCCTCTGTATGAACACATCCTTTCTTCTTTAAGCTCACAAACACTTTTGACCATTTACATACATCAAGCGCTGTGCTACTGTTACGTATACAGCAGCACAGAACGCAGTGGAGACTGAGATTTTAATATCCCAGTATTATTTTTTTTTACTGGGAGAATGAAAATAAGAAAAGATTACTGCGAGTAAATTTAACAAAAATATCTCTAAATATATACCTAGGATATATTCTTAAAAGCGGAATTACTGGGCCCAAGAGTATGAACTTTAAGGCATCTGATTTATACTGCCAAACTGCTGTTTTGAGAAGACTGCAGCAATTTACGATTCCATCAGGAAAATATGACAATGGGAAAAATGACAGCTCATTGGAATTAGCATTAATTGCATGGTCTGACATTCTTGAACATGTTCCTGCTGCTAGCAGCTCTTCTGCTGTGAACTCTTCATGTTCTCTGTCCTCAGTTCTATGGGGATGCTAACGTTTTCCTTATGGATAGATACCCACAGACAGTAAGAGGTCTGCTTTTTGTCGTAAGTTCTACACTTTTCTTACTTGCTACTTGCCTTTTAGCTGTGTTTATGTTATTTAGCATAGAAGGGCTCAGAAGTTTCTAAAGCGAACTCCACTGACCTTTCTTTGGCTCTCCTTCATGGTTTTGATGCTTAGAAAGTCTTTTTGGATCCTGAGAAAAGTTAAATATTCAGCTGCATTTCCTTTTAGTTAAAAGAAAAGTTACATATTTTAGATTTAACTCTTTAGTCTACCTGGAGTTTTTGGTTTTGGTTTCTGTTTTTCCGCTCACTTTTTTTCCGGTGGTGCTGGGGACCAACCCAGGGCTTTGTGCAAGCTCAGGGAAGTGCTTCACCACTAACATAACCCCAGCCCCTGTGTTTCCAGGTAATTAATCCCAGACCTCCAGTTAGATGTTTTAGATAGGCTCAACTATGGTGGACCAGGGATGTTAAGATAGAATGATTGATGAGTTGCGCTGAAAACACCGAGAATCAGCGGAAGGAAGCTGCCCCACCGCCATCCCAAGCTCCTAGGGCAGAGAAGCTGAGCCGAGCAGGCGCCAAAAGCACGTACCTCCCCGACCCCGACCCTGTCCCCGTGGAAATGAGAAGACACGTAAACAAGCCTCAAAAACAGACTTCTGATCACCTACAGCAACCCCAAAGGGAAACGAGATGGAACAATCTGATACTCAACCACCTGGACTCTCTGAACTGGCAACAAAAGAGGATCTCGGAAAAATGAGATCGGAAATAATTACTCAGGTAACAGCAGAGATTTTGCTCATGGTGCAAGACATGATTAATAAATCTAGAGAGGACACAGATAAAAAAAATAGAGGATCTGAGGAACATGATGGAATC